CTTACACTGCTAAATTAGGGACGGCTAGCGCAGATAGCCCTCGTGTAGCTTTGCGCGAAATTCCAAACAAACAAACCGCAGACGTGCCGCTGTCCCACTGGAGGGGGGGTCCAAAATAAACAAGCATCAACTTAGGATGGATGCTCGTTACATATAGCTGAAGGTAATTTTTTCACAAAAGCAAAAAAAAAATAATAATAATACCCACGAAAATATAAGCAAACCTGCGAGGTTCTACTTTTAACCGATACATAACAAAATATCGTCCAAATTATAATAAAATTAGCAGCTACATAAGTATTGACACTTCCTTTCTTGTATATTGAAGACAACATCTACTCGTACCATAAATGATTTTAGATAACACTAGAAACAGTTAGGTGTTACTTTACGATAACTTTATTTTTTAAGTTTAGGCCCGGCATGGCCAGGTGGTTAGGGGCGCTCGGCTCGCAATATGAGGGTCGCGGGTTCGAATCTCCGTCACACCAAACATGCTCGCCCTTTCAGCCGTGGGGGCGTTATAATGTGACGGTCAATCCCACTATTCGTTGGTAAAAAGAGTAGCCCCAAGAGTCGGCGGTGGGTGGTGATGACTAGCTGCTTTCCCTCTAGTCTTACACTGCTAAATTAGGGACGGCTAGCGCAGATAGCCCTCGTGTAGCTTTGCGCGAAATTCAAAAACAAACAAACAATCTTTTAAGTTTTGTAGAAATTTACTCGTAGAATATAAATACTTAGAGCGCGGTTTGTTTTTGCTGCAAGACTAAATACGTCAGTTTCACTGGCACGTGATTAATGTTTGTGTATAGAACGAGTATATGGAGAAAGTAATGTTGACTGATGGCATCGTTCGGGCAAGATGACGTCCTTCTAATTTTATCGATAGCTCTTGTTTTTGAAGCTTCGCGAGTGATGAAAAGCCACGTGCTCTAACAGTTGATCTCTTTCAAGTTTTCGAGGCGTGGATTGACGAATGTATATTTCCCGGTTCCAGAAATCCGTCTGCGTCCTCATTTTAAATCATTGTTATAAGGAAAGACTTTTTTTTTGCTAATAGCGTTTCTTTTCTGCCGTTTCAGTTGGACCAGCCTGTTCTGGGAATGCCAGACAGAAGTTACTTGATAAAAGGCCTGAACGATTCGGGAGTTGCCGCCTACTACAGGTTGATGGTCGACAGTGCTGTCCTCTTGGGAGCAACTCGGGAAGCTGCTGAAGAACAAATGTTGGAATCTCTCAACTTTGAAATCACTTTAGCGAATGTAAATATATCGGTGGAGAAATTATTTTTGTACATAATGTTTTAAAGAAATTAATAATTTAATCGCGAAGAACTTTTCGAATCGGTTATGTAACAGAATCGACATTTCTGAAGAAGGAGAACGCCAGAAGTTAGCAGAAGAGGGGGGGGGGAATTCTCTCGCCCTTTATTTTTCTAAATTTAATCTACTAATGAAAATTTTCAAACGTAATTTGAGAGCAAATAGCTAGAAATTCTTGCAAGAAATTCGTCCACCCACGCCCCCTGGTGACCAAGCGGTAAGTTTGAGGGTTTACGACGCAAAAAAAAAAAAGGTTGCGTTGCGATATCTTCGGTGGGCAGCAGCAGCAGCACAGATGTACCATTGTATAGGTTTGCGCTTAACAACAAACAAAACTTTTACGTAATAATAATAATAATACTGCCACGTGTTTCGTAAAGTTTGGGTTCATCTTTGTTTACCTGCAACACTCGGGCACGAAACTTTAAAATATGTAACATTTACTAGGGATTAAGATCCACTAAAGATGTTTAAAGGTAGGAGTCCAAAACACGATCACGTGTTTGGCTTCCTTTACCAAGCTTTTACATTTGAAATCAGACCATCGGGAACCACGTGATTCCAGTGTATTACACGTCAAAGTACGTGTATTTCTTTGCCAGTTTTTAAATTAACTGTTAAATTTGTAGCGAGGTTTTTTAACACGTTGGTTGCCGTGTGCGCCACCGGTAGGTCCTCA